TTGAGATTACAGTGGCAGGTTACTGAGCGGATGAGTATTCAAACTCAGATCTTGGGAGACGGCGCTTGGTCTTCTTTCCTTGTGTCTGAACTACCTCACTTCATCAAATGTGAGATGCTACTGGCCGTAGGACTTTCTGTGTACTTTAAATAAGCTAAAACATTGCCAATTAAACTGACACACTGCTTTTTATTACCTGTAATTTTATTGAAAGATTTATATAGAGTGTTAAAATCATATTCTTGTACATGCACGTAAAGGAACATTTCAAAACAGGCCGGGCGCGGCGGCGCGTGCCTGTAATGCCAGCACTTTGGGAGGCCAGGGTGGGAGGATCCCTTGAGTCCGAGAGTTTGAGGTTGCAGTGGGCCATGGTGACACCACGACACTCCAGCCTGGGCGACAGAGTGACATCCTGTCTCAAAGGGGAGAAAAAAAGACACTCCTGTGGCGTGTCAGGTCGGGCGTCCGCGTTCCCCACGCAGCCGGTCCTCCTAGTCGTTGCGTGCACGCGGGCAGCGTCCTTGAGCACGCTGTCCTTATCGCGGGGTTCTGCTCTGCAGGTGCGTCCTGGGCTCCCCCCTCTTCCCCAGAGGGGCAGGCGCGGCCAGCAGCAGGCGCAGACGATGCCCTCGGCTGGCAGTGCGGCCCCAGAGGTGTCCAGATGGCGAAGGTGAAGGCCGGAAACCGCGCCTCTGACCGGCCGCCGCGGCGATTTGTGGCGCCGACCGGATTTCCCATGTGCCACTCTTAGCCAGCCTTGTCCCTTCCTCTGTTTTCAGTTACTTTATCGACTCTTAAAATTGGGTATTGATTCAGTCACACACACGTCAAATGGTGGTCTGATGCGGTTACGCTAAGGCCATGTGATCTAGCTGGTGAGACTTGAGCAGAACTGCTGCTGTGCACCCGGAGAAGAGAAGAGACCTGCCCAGGCGGCCGAGCCCCCCCCTCCTGCCGGGCTCGTCCCCCGGCTGTGCTGGGGGCTCTTGCTGCCGATGGAGGGAGGTGCCACTCCCCTCCTGGCGTCTTTGAGTGAGTGGCTGCAGATCATCCTCTTTGGCTGTTTTATCCCGTCACGTGGGGGAGGGACATTTTGCCCCTGGAATTTGGGGGGGGCAAAGAAACAGGGCCGCTCTGCAGGCGCAGGCCGGGCGGATTGTGGGTGTTCACTCTGAAGTCATGAAACCACGTCGCAGAAATTTTAGGGGAAAATGACCCGTAATCCCACCGTCGTACAAAATCATCTTGACCATTTTTGGTCATTTATTTTTAGTGTTTTTGTTTTTTGCTTATTTACATCTGGAAACTGTAATCATGTTTTACGTATAATTTGTAATTTTCTAGTCCGTGTCACAAGCATTTGTCCCGCGGGCTGTAACGACGGTCTTCAATGGCGCCGAGGCCGAGAGCGCGGACGTTCCTCCCGCCCGACTCCCAGCTGCGCCTCCCCGCGTGCCCTGCCGGCCCTCCTGCACCGCGCGGCTCGCCGCGTCTGCAGAGCCCAGGGCGGCTGCCCCCGAGAGGGTGGCCGTGGCCTGCGGGCCACTCTGCAGCAGGCTCCGAAGCACTTTGGGCCTGGAGTTTGAAACGCCTGTTTTGTTTGAAAACAGCTGAGCAGCATTCATCTGCTTTTCACATTTTCCTGTCCAGATATGAGTCACTTCCTGCTCTCAGACCAGATAGGGTTTGTTTTTGGGTTTTTTTTTTAACTTTTTTTCATAAACCCTGATATTATCCTGTCCCGGAACATGGAGGTGCACGTGGATTGTCCGTGGCCGGGAGAATGCTGATCCCACGTTTCTGTGTCCGTTGATGATCGTATGTTCTGTTCAGAAAAGTAAAAGCTACGGATCGGAGTGATGTCATTGTGGGTAGGTTTTTAAAAACGCTGCCTTGGAAAACCATAAAAGCGTTTATTTGCGGACAGTCTGAGGAAGTGGTCGGGCGGGAGCAGCGAAGGGTTTCCCGGAGCGAACCCAGCGAGGTGTGCAGCCTCCAAGCGTACCTAGCGTGCACCCTGTTTTGCCAGAAAGGAAATAAACGTTCTTATTTTTTCAGAATAATGCCTCCCTGTAAGGTGCTGTTTTAGGCTTAAAAGACTCTAAGCCGACTGGGTTCTAGTAGCCCGAGGTGCGGAGGCAGCGGCCGCCCCGAGCGAGTGGCGGGGGGGGGGGCAGGCTCCCAGCGAGGGGCGCCTCTCCCGCCAGCCTGTCTGCCTCTGCGTGCCCAGCCGGCGAGCGTGGCCTGTACGCGGCAGAATCGTAGTGATGGATGGCGAATGGACCAGGACTTGGTTTGGAGCAGGGCTCAGCGAACCTGTCCTGCAGAGACGCAGGTAGCAAATGCTTTTGGCTCTGGGAGCCGTGCAGCGGCCGGGGTCGTCCCTCAGCTCTGCGGCCGTGGGGCAGCAGGCCCCGGCGAGTGGCGTGGCCGCGCCTGCTGGCGGGCAGGGCAGCCTGGGCCAGAGCGGCACTGTCCCCGGAGCACTCCCTCCCCGATGACCGGAACATGCCGTGGCTGTGCCGTCCCTCGTGGCAGCCACCAGCAGGTGTGGCCGCTGGACACTCAAAACGCGGTCATTTAGTGCAGCTGGGGGTGAGTGTCTGGTTTAAGTTAACCTGAATGTAAGTAGTCAGGTGTGGTTAGCGGCTCTGGTATTAGGTGGTTGCAGGCTGAGAACCTGGCCCAGAGTGGGCTGTACAGAGCAGGCTGTTATTCATACATGTTAGGGAAAGAAAGAGTTCTGTGGCCAAAAGAATTGGGGAATCATTGTTTAAAAAAAAAAAAAGATTTATTTATTACAGGACTTGCCAGAGCCTTTAGTGTGCTTAATGCACATTAACAGTGTATGAGAGGTCAGGCGCGGTGGCTCACGCCTGTAATCCCAGCACTCTGTGAGGCTGAGGCAGAAGGATCACTTGAGGTCAGGAGTTCGAGACCAGCCTGAGCGAGAGCGAGAACCCCATCTCTACTAAAAGTAGAAAAACTAGCCGGGTACGGTGGCGCATGCCTGTAGTCACAGCTACTCGGGAGTCTGAGGCAGGAGGATCGCCAGGAGTTTGAGGTTGCTGTGAGCTATGATGATGCCACGGCACTGCCCGGGTGACAGAGTGAAACTCTTGTCTCCAGAAAAAAAAAAAAGTCTATGGGAATTGCAGGGTATGGTCAAAGGAATAAATAATTAAAAAGAAAAAAAAGTCTATTGGGGCTGGGCCTGGTGGCTCACGCCTGTAATCCCAGCACTCTGGGAGGCCAAGGCGGGAGGATCGCTTGAGGTCAGGAGTTCGAAACTAGCCTGAGCAAGAGCGAGACCCCATCTCTACCAGAAATAGAAAGAAATTAATTGGCCAACTAATATATATAGAAAAAACTAGCCGGGCATGGTGGCGCATGCCTGTAGCCCCAGCTACTCGGGAGGCTGAGGCAGGAGGATCGCTCGAGCCCAGGAGTTTGAGGTTGCTGTGAGGTAGGCTGATGCCACGGCACTCACTCTACCCTGGGCAACAAAGCGAGACTCTGTCTCAGAAAAAAAAAAAAAAAAGTCTATTGGAAGAGGTTTCTGAGATCCCCCCCCCCCAAACTTTCTGACCATTCATTTTCCCGAGGGGCGGCACATGTGAGAGCAGTGGTATTCCTCCGAGAAGACTTTGGGAAACGTTGGCTATATCGAGCCTTTCGCCTTGGGCAAAGGGAGGTTTACAGATGTGCAGAAACCCCCTGGCGCACGGCCAGCTGGCTGCCAGGACGGCGAGAGCAGTGGGGCGGGGGGGGGGGGCACGTTGGGAGCCCTCCTGCCTCGGGACAGGCCCTTCCTGGCTGTGGCTGTGCACAGGAGGTGGAGAGTGCGACTGTGCCCGTGGGGGGGATGAAGAGCTGGTCACAGTGAGCAGTGGAGAAACACCAGCCAGCAGCAGAACACACACGCATGCACACGCACACACATGCACACGCTCATGTGGGCGGAGCCGGACACTGCGGTGTGTCTGACAAGTGACTGTCGGATCTTGGACAGATATTCGGGCTCATTTAGAAGTAGCCCTTAAGGGCCGGGTGTGTGGGCTCCGGCCTGCCGTCCAGTGGCTTTGGGGCGGCGGAGGTGGCAGGCTCGGTGGAGGCCAGGGGCTGGCGGAGGCAGGGGCTGGCGGAGGCAGGGGCTGGCGGAGGCAGGGGCTGGCGGAGGCCAGGGGCTGGTGGAGGCAGGGGCTGGCGGCTGCAGGAGCTGTGGTCGCACCACTGCACTGCAGCCTGGCGGCAGAGCGCGAGTCGTTTCATAATACCAAGAGAGAAACGGCGCCTGAAACTTGTCATCGTCTCGATTTTGAGAAGGAGGAAATGCACCTGTGTGTGTGTGTGTGTGTGTGTGTGTGTGTGTGTAGAGGGAGGGACGAGGGGCTTGCTGGCTCCGGGCAGTCTCTCTGGCCCCTCCCCCGTCCTCGGTGCCCCCTCGGCCGCCTCGCACCCCACGGCTGCACTCCGCTCTGCGGTCCCCTGAAGCTGGCGCTCGTCCCGCCACCCTGGCCTGCAGGACGAGGGCGGGGACGTGTCCGTGCACAGGAAGACGCAGGGGAGGGCTCTCCGGGCGACCGGCCGCGCACTCGCAGAAATGTCCCGCGGTGGAAAGGGTCGGGCATTGGTTTTCAGAGGTTCTCGCGGGTGGCTGCTGCCGGGAGGGGGCGGAGGCAGCTGCGCGCTCAGCTGCGGCTCGCTGGCTCTGGGTACACCGTGCCGCCCTCCAGCTCTGTCCCCTGCTCTTCCTTCTCTGTGATCGTTTTGTGCTTCGTCTGCGCTTTCCATTCTGCGTTTAAATTCGCCGTCGGTGCGCGCCGGCCGCCTGCGGCCGCCCCCTGCCAGCCGTCTGGGTCGCGGTGGGCCGGCCGCCTCCGCGGGGAAAGCCGCCACAGCGTCAGATGCAAAATGATGATCGCGTGTGCACGTCAAGCTCTTGTTTCATTTGTATAATTTGTTTTTTGTTTTCTGTTTTTTTTTTACTTTTACAGTGAGTGTTGAAAAGATAGACCTGAAGGGATTGTCACACACAAAAAATGACAGAAATGTTGAATGTTCCTTTGAGGTAAGACGCTCAGTTTTTTTTCCCTCTCTCCTCTAAGGGATAGGAAGGGAACGCCTCCGATAGCAGGGGCTTTATCTGTCTAAGTAGAAGCCGGGCCTTTCTGCGAGGCCCAGCAGCCGTGCAGGCGGCGCCCGGGTGGGCCGTGTCCAGGACGGGGCTGCCCCTCCACACGCATGTGGCCTTTGTGGGGACGGGCCTGGCCTGGTGGCTCCGTCCATCGGGGTGTGTGTGCCCGGGGGTGGGCGGAGGCCGACGGCACGGGCCTCGGGGGTTCCGGAGGATGAGCCAGACCCAGCGCCCGGGGTGCCGACTGTCCGTGAAGACGGGACAACAGAGGCTCCGTGGTCACGCAGGGAGAGTTCTCTGCACCGACAGGCTCGGGCGCTGGTGGGGCACCAGAGCCGGGTAAGATGAAGGGGCGTGAGAGTGGAGGCGTGTCGTGCGCGGGGGTGGAGACCATCTCGGCAGGGCGACCCACTCAGAGTCGGTCTCTGTCCCACACGGGATGGAGCGCACGGGAGGCCGCGGCTGGGCCCGTCGGAGCCTGAGGGCCGTCGATCTGACGCCCCCATGTGCCCTCGGCCTCGGGGTCCTGCCGAGGGCCCCGTCCTTGCGTTTCCCGTCTGGGCAGCAGGGTGCTGGGGGCCGAGGAGAAAGGTCACTGTTTATCTCTCTTGAGGCACAGTCCTGGAGGCGGGCTCTAGACACGTGCACTGTGTCTCGTTGGCCAGGGTTGAGCTTCGTGAGCCTACTTAGCTGTGAGAGAGGCGGCCGGTGCCCCCTGCCCCGCCCCCGTTGTGGCCAGGCTGTCCCCGTCACCTGCTGGGTCCCGACTGCCCCTCAGGCCGCTCCTGGCACTGCCGCACGGCGTTCTTGGGGACAGAAGCTTCGGGTCGTGCCTAGCAGGCACACCGTGTGGGTCCACTGATTTATTAAATGGCGGAGCCGCGTCAAAGCACTTCAGTCCTTTCACCAGTAAAGGGTAAAAATCTCCGTCTGGTCTGGGAGATGCTGAACTCTGAGAATCGGTCACTACGCCGCAGACTGGTCTTTTCGCGCTATGGGGGCCGTCGCAGCCGGGAGGGCAGAGGCCGTGCCACACTGGGGTGACCTGAGTGCCCGGCAGCCCGGCACTGACCCCGGAACCTGGAGCCTACCGCCCGCGCTTCGCTCCTTCCCTCCAGTCCGCCCTGCGCTGGCCGCCTCTTCACCGGGTCCTGCTCGGCCTCCCGCAGGCTGTGCACTTGGAAGAGAGTCCCAAGGCAGCAGGGCCCGGCGCAGGCCCGGGCATGGATTCGCTCCCAGTCCCCGGTCCCGTCGTCTGCGGCAAGGGAGTCACAGCCGTGCGGCGTGGGACGCGGTGACTTCGGACAGCGCGACTGCCGACCGCTGTTCTGTGAGGACTGAGCTTTGGCGAGATGTGTGGCCTGTTTGGGCCTCGGCCCGGAGCAGAGAGCTCTGCTGGGGCTGCGCGGACCGCGGTGGCGGCACTAGAGTAGCCGCTGCTCGGTGCGCACGGCCCTGACCCTATCTAGCGTTAGGTGTTCCGTTTAAGACGTTCTCTCCTCCGAGTGGGGGCACCGAGCTGTTTCGGGACTCGCAGACAAAGCTTATTTGCCTGGAGCGCTGACTTCCCGCGATGTGATAACCAGCGGTGTCCCTGTGCGTGGGGCGCTGATAATCCTCCTCCCCCCGGTCCAGCTCGTCTCCTTTCGGGGCACTCACTGGGTACGCCCTAGGAATTTACAGCCCGAGCCACACGTGTTGCGTGGGGCGGTGAATCAAGGCACAAAGGAAGAGAGTCTGTCAATATCAACATCTGTTCGAAGTGTGTCTTATCAGTTACAAAACGTACTGTTCATCGATAGAGCTTAAAGCGTGTGCCCGTTTGGTCGTTGTTGGTTTCTCGTGCCCTTATCCTCTTAAATACGTGGCTGCTCACAAGACCCCATGGCGTCACTGTCCACGTTCCGCAGGTCTGGGCCTCCCGTCCCTTAGGAGAAGTGCTAGGGCTGCCGCTCTGCCGAGAAGGCAAACCAGGGGCAGCGTGAGAAGATGACTTCACACGTCTTTAGACGTACTTTCTCTCATGCTGAATGAAACACCCCCCACCCGCCAAAAAAAATCCCAGTGGGATTTTTCTATTTTAGAAATCAACAAGTTGATTTTGAAAATTATATGGAAAGAACTAGAGTAATTAAAACAATTTTGAAAAGACAAAGGCTGGGAGACTCGCACTACTCGATTTCAAGACTTAGTACAGGATCGTGTCCCTGCTGTCGCTGAAGGCACAGAAGGCACAGCCGCGCGGCACAGAGGAGAGACTGCAGACTCGGGCTCAGGTGCAAACGGCTAGTGGAGTCTTGACAAAGGCGTGGAACGGGCTTGGCAGTGCAGTGGAGAAAGCGTGGTCTTTTCAACAAACAGCCTGGAGCCAATGTCCACGTGCACACAAGAGCCTTGACCTCACGTCAGCCCTTAAACAAAAATTAACTCAAAATTGATCCTAGACTTAAATATAAAACCAAACGCTATGTAACTTCTAGGAGAACACTCTGTGACTTAAACTAGGTGAAGATACAATGTAAAGATACACTGTATCTAAAATAAATAAATAAATAAATAAAAATTTCTCTGATCTTCAATGCTGAAAAAAATAAAAAAATAAAAATAAAAAAAAGATACACTGTATCTTTACATACTTGAAGTAGGTAAAGATACATTGTATCTAAGACCTACAACTCGGTCTTAGATACAATGTCAAAATAAATCCATAAAAGCTGATAAATTGAACCTCTTTGAAACTTGCTCTTTGAGAGGCACCCTGAAGAGAATGAAAACACAAGGCCTGGGTTAGAAGACACTAAGCAATCACACACCTGATGAAGGGTTTACGTTTGCAATATATAAATACTCTCAAAATTTAATGATAAGCAAACAACCCAATAGAGAATGGGTGAAATATTTGGACAGTTTGCCCAGAAGCATGTGTGGAATAAGCACGGGCGAGAAGACGTTCGGCGTCCCCGATCGTTAGGAAAACACGAGCTCACACTGTGGCAGGAAGCGACCCTGTGCTGAGGGTCACACGGCTGAAGCGCAGAGACCCGCTGGCGGCACCGGGGAGGAGCTGGAATCGCTTTCAGTGACGGGAACATGAAATAGCGTGACTGCTTTGGAAGACGGTTTGGCAGCTTCTTGAAAAGTTAATCCTACTGCATCTACAACGCGACCATGGGTTCCGAGCCTCGGTGTTTGCCCAGGGAAATCACGTGTGTGTTTCCAGGAGATCCGCACATGGATGTTGGAGCAGCTTTTGCGTGTTAACACCACGAGGCTGCAGGCGGCACCGGTGCCCGCTCGCAGGGTGGGCGCGCACTGTGCAACTCTGTCCGCTCCTCGGACCAGCGCTCAGCGCCGAAGAGGAGTGCAGTGACCGTCGGGGTCCTCGCGGTGTGGGTGGATCTCGGCTGTGTTGTGAGAGACCACACGACTAAGTCTGCATGTCGTAAGTCCATCATGAGCATCTGCATAAACTTCTAGAAAACGCAAACCAATCTGTAGCAGCAGAAAGCAGCTCAGTGGTTTCCTGGGGAGCCCGAGGAGACTTCTGGGGTGTCTCCAGGGCCCTGTCCGTCTTCTAGTGCCTCGGGGCCCGTGGGCAGGCGCGGCAGCAGGGAGGGCCGGGCAGCTGGGACCCGGGGCACAGCCTGGGGGGACCCCAGCGTTGCCGCTGAGAGTGAGCCAGCCGCGGCTCCGCCTGTGGCGTGCGCTCTGTGACGGCCCCGGGCGGGTGCCGGCTCCATCTGTAAGCGAAACAGGCACCAGGAGCACAGGCTGCAGGCACTGTGCTTGCGTGAGGCGCGTAGTCGCTGGGAGAGTAGGTTGTGTGGCTCGTCACGGAGCGGTCTGTGCGGGCTGCGCTGTGCTGGCGGGTTTCTTGTTGCTGGCGGGTCGCGGTGCACGTGTGCCACGCGGGTGTAGAAGGAGAGAGAGAAGAGTCACCCTAGAAACAGGAATGTGCACATTGTGAGGAAGGGAGTTTCCACGACGTGTTTTACTTTGAAAAATGCGAGTTGCGGGCAGTGCTTTGGGTCAGCCGTCTGCGTGCCGAGGACGCTCCCCTGTCCTGAGATGCTGGTGGTGGCGTGCGAGCCCCTCCCGGACTCCTCGTCAGTGCCGTGAGGCCGCCCTGTTTCCGGCAGGGTCGCGGCGAGCAGAGGTGGGGCGAGGCCCGCCGCAGCGGTCCGTTCGGAGGATGCTGGCGCCCGCGCGTCTGCGAGTCCGGGCGGGCGCTGGGAATTCAGAGGCAGGAAGCGGGGTCCCGTCCCTCAGCTCGCTTGTGTTTTGCCAGAGTCTGATGGCGCAGACCGGGCGGTGCCTGCTCTGCGGGTGGGGCCTGGGGCGGGGCCGGCGGGGGGGGTGAGCCAGTGTATGGGGCGTCTCTCTCTCTCGGGATGTGTCCCATGGGTGGGGGGGGGTGGTGGGGGGCAGAGGAGGGCGGCATCTCCAGGCGCTCTGCTCTAAATCAGCGTGAACGTTATACTTTTTGTGTGCATAATAAAATACGTTTGGTCATTTTATCTCCTGATTCGAAGTCTTCCGGTAGCTCCTTCTGGATGTGAGAGTGCCTGTGCGTGTGGTGCGGGCCCAGCTCCAGCCCCACCTCCGCCTGTCCCCTGCCGTCCCCTCTGTGCTGCTCACCTGCCTTTCAGAAGGCGACTCGCGCGTTCCTCCGCACAGACTCGCCCTCCGACGTGCGCAGTGCCCCCCATCGGGTCGGCACCTGTGGGCGCACGTGTGAGGCCCGCGAGCATGAGCCCCTGCCCCGGGAGCTGAGTCCACTCGGGGAGACAGGAAATGACACCGGCCACCGTGCTCTGGGCTGGGAGGGAAAACCGACGCCTGTGCCTGGCCTGGGACACACCAGGTACCGCGGAACTTGCAGGGAGCCTTGCTGGGTACTGTCCCTGGTTCTTGCTGCCCGGCCCCTCCTCCCGGGGCAGACACCTCCCTCTCCTGGGGCTCGCCGCCCTGTCCTGCCGCCACAGCTGTGCACTGTCCCGAGAGCGGATGGCGCCTGTTTTGTCCACGTGTCCACGGCACCTGACCCGCCCCGGGCGCTTACTATTGAACGAAGCGGCTTATTTCCGGGAGCATGTTGGTCTTGCATCTGGAGTCACGTAGTCTTACCTGAGCAGAGGTCCCCTGGAAACAGATGAACACTGGCGTACGCAAGCACGTTGTTTTTTAATTCATAAAGAATAGAAATTTCTCCAAATCCTGGAGGCCAGTGAGTCCATAGCCAAAGGGCCGCGTCTGGTGAGAGCCCTCTTGCTGGCTGAGACTCTGAGCGCCCGTGGGCTGCCGGTGGGTGGTGGGCCGAGCGTGGCGGGCAATTTGTAATGCCCGGTGATTTTCTAAAACTTAGCACACTTCAGACCGCGTGCCTGAGTAATTCGGTGATACTTGATTCAAATTGTATAGAACTAGGAGCTAAGCCATAACGGACTCGTGTTATAGGACTGTTCTTTCTCTAACGAGTCGAGGCACGTGCAGACGCGAGGGCTCCGTGCGCTCGCCAAACCCGCGCCGGCGAATAGTGCCAGGACGTGTGAGCTGTGAATTAAGCATGTGGTGTCTGTTCTTAAGGTTTGTTTGTTTGTTTGTTTGTTTGTTTGTTTTTAAGGTCTTGTGGTCTGATTCTTCAATAACATCAGTGACCAAGTCTTCCTCTGAAGTGACTGAATTCATTTCAAAGGTAAGGCGGCGGAGGGCTCCTGCACCCGTGGGGAGGGCCGCGTGCCCGGGGGTCGGCAGCACTGGGGTGCGGTTCCAGCAGGCCGCCTCCCTCGCGGCAGCAGCGAGCATGATCCTGGGTGCCAGGCACAAGTGACTGATGGCCCTTCTGTCTTATTTGTCACCCCTCACCCTCCCAGGGTCCCCCGGCCAGGTGAGGGGAGGGGCGCGCCGGGGTGGCCGCATGGGCGGAGACTCAACGTCTCCGGAAGGCGGAGATTCCACCCTCGTGCGTGTGACTGTGTGCACGCACCTCCGCACTTCCGTGTACGTGTGCCTGTTTCACAGCTCACTGGCGTGTGCTGCAGCGTGAGCCACCGTCTTAGCCACAGTGGTGCGTCTAAGCGGCCCCGTTGTCGACACGTCTGTGTCCACAGGGCGCACGGCTGCAGGGGAACGCTCAGTGGGCGGCCCTGTCTCCACGGCCTGCACGGGTGTTGGGTGACACTGGTCTCTCTGGCCTGTTAGGCCTTGGGGAACTCGGGCCACGCCCCCAGGGCTGCACACAGCGCCTGGGAGTTCACTTTCCTCGCCCTGATGTTCAGAGCACGAAACTCCCGCCCTCCGTGCCCGCTGCCCATTCTGTGACAAAAGCAGTTTCCTTGGACACCACGAATGCCAGCTGGGACTGTGCCCTTCCCTTGGTCTTTGGTGACCACGCCAGCTACATTTGCACTGCTCGGGTCTGCGGCCTTCTTGGCTGTCCGATTTGTTGTCTTTTGTTAATTTTGGAAAATGCTTTTCCATTAGCTCTTCAAATATTTCTTCGGCCCGTGCTTCCCTCTGGGACGCGGCTGCACGTGTCTCAGGCCCCTGGTGTGTGCGTGGCATGGGCGATGTCTGTCGTCCTGTCCTCCAGACGGCCACGTCCCTCCCCTCACGCGGCCCGGGCTGCCGCCGAGCCTGGAGGATGTGCTGAACTCCCCGTCTCTGGTGCCAGGGATTTTGTTTCGTTCTCGTTTTTCCCCCTAGTTTTCCCATTGGACGTGACTTACAATAGTTTCCACCACCGTGAACTCTCCCGTTGGTGTCTATGCCTGGTGTCATCTTTTAACTAGATCCTTAAAAGTGAATGATGGTTATTTAAAAAAGTTGCTGTCTGATAGTTCCAACGCCCGGGTTATTTCTGAGTCTGGATGTAATGACTGCTTTATCTGCGGACACTAGCTTCCCCCCTTTTGGTTTTTGTGTGTCTCGCACATTTTGGGTGGAGTGTTGGACATGGCGCCTGGAAGACGAGGGCTGGAGGAAGAGCTGCTCGTGCCTGGGCAGCGACGCGCCTCTCCTCTCAGGCCCTTAGAGGGACCCCCGGGCCAGTGGGGCAGCCACGCTGGCTCTGGGTGGGGTTGCCATGGTTACCCTCGGTGTGTCCCTCCAGGGAAGGGCTGCCACCTGAGCCCAGGGGTCTTCTCGGTGGTGCGGCTCACTCTGAGCTCTCGGCAGTCCCTGACGCCTGTGGCACGGGAGGGGCGGGGGGGGGGGTTCTCCCTCTCCTCTCGCCCCCTCCCAGGAGTAGCCTGCTGTCGCTCGTTACCTGGTGCTGGACGGGGGCGGAGGTGTCTCTGGTCTCCCAGTCCAGCCTCGCCTCGTCCTGGGCAGGACCCTCTCGCCTGGCCTCTCCCTGGGGAGGGGCGGGTTGCCCCTGTTCCAACCCAGAAACGGGGGGTGACAAAAGCCCCAACAGCTGAGGGCTTTTGTCTTGGACTCAGCGAGGGGTCCAGGGAAATGCGCAGGGCCTCGCGCCTGGTCCTCAGGCCACCATCCGTGGGGCCCTCTGGCTCCTCCCGGGAGAGAGAGCTGGGGGAGGGCAGGCGGGCTAGCCACGCGGCCGGGAGCAGTGTCCACTGCCCGCCTCTTCTGACCTGCCGGTGTGCAGCCGCCGTACTGTCGGCAGGACTGTTCCCGGGTCCTGTCTCCTCCAGTTCGTGTGGTGGTGGGCGCAGCTGAGTTGTGTGGAGTGTGGGAGTGAGGCTGCTCTGCGGCCCCCTCCATCCTCAGGGTGCAGAGCCCCGCGTGGCTGCTGGTGTGGTGTGAATCCCGTCACACCCGCTGCGTCACCATCAGATGTCCTTACGTCTAGGAATTGTGCTTGTATAAAACGGGCTTTGACATCCATCATACGCGCTCTCTTCTCTCTCAGCTGTCTCAGCTCTACCCCGAAGAGAACTTGGAGAAACTCATTCCTTGCCTAGCTGGCCCAGACTCGTTCTACGTGGAGCGAAACCACATGGATCTGGAAGCCGGCCTGAGGTGAGGCTCCGCCCGGCCGAGGGCGGGGACGGGCAGACCTCGGTGTGTCCTGGTCCCCGAGGTGCTCCTGAGGGATGCCCGGTCACCTGGGTCTGGGTCTCGGCTTCACCTTTAGGGATTTTCAACAGTTACAGGGAATTTGAAAGATCCTAATAGCCTAAGGGTGATTTTAAAGGTAATAGGGAAGGAATTTCAAAGCATATGCCATTATTTAAGGTACTGTTGACAGTCTTCCTAATCATGTTGGATTATTGTTTCTGCTCTGTAGTGAGAACTGAGACTGTTCCAATTAGCGCCTAGCAGACAGTTTCTCAGAGGGCGCTTGGTGGTGGTGTGGCGCACACAGTGGCGTGGCACACGGGCCCGTAAGTGAAGGACAGGGAAGGGGCTTTGCGCGAGCAACGTGAACCGTAGCAGGAACTGAGCCAGGCCGGGCGCAGTGGTGCACGCCTGTAATCCTAGCACTCGGGAGGCTGAGGCAGGAGGATCTCTTGAGCCCAGGACTTTGAGGTTGCTGTGAAGCTATGGTGACACCATGGTACTCTAGCCCAGGCAAGAGAAGAAGACCCTATCTCAAACCCAAAAAGAATTGCATTAAATTAAAGCAGGAAGAATGTGAGGTTCTGGCACATCTAGTTCTTATTTTATCTAATATGTATTTATCTTAATTGAGAACTACATTTTCTCCCCGATAGTTTTCGATAATGCCGTTTTCATGCTGATGAAACCATTCTGTTTGAGTTTCAGGTATTTGGCTTCGTTACCTTCTCATGTATTAAAAAATGACCATGTGAAGAAGTTTTTCAGCACCTCATCTCCCACCCAACAGCTTCAAAGTCCAAGTGAGTTTATGAACTTCGACTAAATAAAAATAAAAATATTTTTGTTGTCTGGAAATGTTTATGATAACTATTTTTAAATTTATAGGTCCTGGCAACCCCTCCCTGTCTAAAGTAGGTACCATGATGGGCGTGGCCGGAAGGTAAGAGATCTTCTGTGTAACCAACACGTTCCAAGTGGGCACTTTGTAAGGTTCACTTTCAGCTGTGGACAAATCATTGTCCCTAGAGTTAAGCAGCTTTCGAATGTAGCCTTGGACGGTGTGGGGAGGAGGAGCTGGGCGGAGAGAATCCCATTCGTGATTTCCCAGGCAGTGCTCTCTGAGCCACTGGGACCGGAATCCCAGGGACGCTCACTGCAAGTTCAGGTTCCTGGGCCCTGCCCAGGCGTAGCAGCCGGAACGTCTGAGCGGCATCCCCTTCCTGGGCTCCCCCGGCTCCCGCAGGCTCGTGACTGTGCCCCCACGGTGTCGGGGGGCTCCATTGGCACCCGGCCCCGGGGTGACAGCAGTATTGCTCAGAAGCTAGTCGCCTGTCTCGATGGACAGGTGACCGTGGAGGAGGCCAACAGGGAAAGAACCGCTGTCCAGCGACACAGCTGCAGATAGCTCTGAGCAGAGCGCTAGTCGTGTGACCGGGGCTCGGCGGTGCTGACGTCCGTACCCAGTGCCTGGTACATCGGAGGCTCTCAGTTAGTGTGTTTGGGTTTGCCGTGGGAGGAGCAAAGGCAAGGAGTGGAATGCTGCTGGTGTCGTTTAGGTTTTATTTTTCTAAAAGTAATGTGAATGTTAAAGATTTAGTAGTCGGTTTTCACTCCTGATGTATCAATGTCATCCTGTGGTTTAGAAGTAACAGAAAGGGGCTGGCGCAGTGCTCACGCCTTTAATCCCAGCACTCTGGGAGGATCGCTTGAGGCCAGGAGTTTGAGACCAGCCTGAGCAAGGGCAAGACACCTCCCCTGCCCAATCTCCATAGAAAAATAGAAAAATTAGCCAAGCTTGGCTCGGTGCACTCCTGTAGTCCCCACTACTCGGGAGGCTGAGGCACGAGGATGGCTTTGAGCCCTGGGGTTTGAGGTTGCTGTGAACTATGATGACGACACCGCACTCCAGCCTGGGCGACAGAGTGAGACTCTGTCTCTAAAAAAAAAAAAAGAAAGTGACTGGATGTGGTGGCTTACACCTGTAATCCTAGCACTCTAGGAGGCCGAGGCTCTAGGATTGCTCGAGATCAGGAGTTTGAGACCAGCCAGAGCAAGACCAAGACCCTGTCTCTATTAAAAGTAGGAAAAATTAGCCGAGCAACTAAAAATACAAACAAACAAAAATTAGCTGGGCTTGGTGGTACACACCTGTAGTCCCGGCTACTCGGGAGGCTGAGGCAGGAGGATCACTTGAGCCCAAGAGTTTGAGGTTGCTGTGAGCTAGGCTGACGCCATGGCACTCTAGCCTGGGGAACAGAGTGAGACTCTGTCTCAAAAAAAAAAAAAAAGGTAACATGTACACAGGTATGACGCACACATTAAGCCCATGCATGTGCGCTGGTGTGCACAGGCACGCACCTGCAGAGATCTCAGTTGGAGGAGGGAGGGGCAGTGGAGGGAAGAACCACGGTGTGTCCAGAGTTTGCGGCGCGCTGTGCTGTGGGCTGGCGGGAGGGCAGCACCTGGAGACCTAACAGATCCGTGGTGGAGCCTGTGGTCTCTCTCTTCTCTGCCCGCCCCGTCCCACAGGCCCGTGTGCGGCGTGGCCGGCATCCCGTCCTCGCAGAGCGGAGCCCAGCACCACGTGCAGCACCCGGCCGGCCCGGCCCCGGCCTTGCCCCACTGCTCCCACGCGGGCGGCGCGGGCTCGGCGCTGGCCTACAGGGCCCAGATGGACGCCTCGCCTGCCATCCTGATGCCTCCCAGCCTGCAGGCCCCACAGACGCAGGAGCAAAACGGAATCCTCGATTGGCTCAGGAAGCTGCGTTTGCACAAGTACTACCCCGTCTTTAAGCAGCTCACCATGGAGAAGGTATGTTGGTTTCTTAGCGAGCTGTACAGAGTTTCCGTGGTTGTTTCCTCAAGTGATATTTCTTCTGACCTCGTTCCTGGGGGAACTGAGTTGGGTTTCCAAAATACACGTGAAGTGGAGGAAGTAAGGTGGACAAGCCCCACGGCCTGGTCTCACAGGGCGGGGGGCTGCGAGGGCCGCCTGCAGACAGAGACGGGGTTTGTCGCAACCAGCTTCTCCAGCTGCTCTCGGGCCTGCAGGGTCTAGATGCTCCGTGTGACATGACGGACAGTCCGTCCCCAGAGCCCTGCTGGAGACACAGGGGTCGTGACCTCTGTCACCAAACCCCCGTTCTGAGCGGGTTCCGTGTAGCTTGTGCGTGTCGAGAGGCTCAGTGAGGCGTGTCACACGGACCCATACATGCAGGTCCACATAAGCAGCTCTCTGATGATCGGGCTGGATTTCGAAGTCATATCTAGAAGAGTGGACGGTTTGACATCTTTCAAGCAGTCCTGCTCAGAAATTGCTCTTTACAATAGTTTGATGAGGAACATTTTTTCTTTGTTAAAAAATTCTGAAATTTAAGTCCTGATGTCACTAATAAACTAAATTGCACCTGGAGGAGGCGTTTGAACTCTGAGCGCCCCCCTTGCTGTACAAGATGACTTGGTGGCTTTTATCCATGAGAAAATTTCATTTGTCCATAAATCTGCAGTTGAACCTAGAAATCAAGCTTTCACTACACAGCTCTGTTTAGGGTTTATAAATCTTAAAAAGAGATTTATGGGTGGGCACAGTGGCTCATGCCTATAATCCCAGCACTTTGTGAGGCCGAGGTGAGAGGATCATGCGAGTCCAGGAGTTCAAGATCAGCCTAGGCAACATCGTAAGACCCTGCCTCTACAAAAAAATGCAAAAATTAGCTGGGAGTGGTGGTGGGCACCTGCAGTCCCAGCTAGTCAGGAGGCTGAGGCAGGAAGATCGCTTGAGCCCAGAGGTTTGAGGCTGCAGTGTGCTGGGATCATGCCACTGCACTCCAACCTGGGCGACAGAGGGAGACCTGTGTCCAAAAAAAAAAAGAAAGGAAAAGATTATACTAACCTTGATCGTAGTTTATGACTTCTTAGTCTAATGTGTGAGTTGAAATGACTAAACACAGAATGATCTGAAAGCTGGAGTCTCATTGTTTGCTCAGTACCGGCCTGTGGGTGAGCCAGCTGTTTAGTTTGGGTGGCGTCTACTTTTCCGGACCACTTGCTGCCTAACAAAGTTGCTGTCACCCTTAACACATTGACAATCTTTTTAAAAAAGACCCATCCTAAGAAGGCTGTGCTCCCGTCTGCAGGGGTGCGTTCTTCGGGGCAAGGCTGCTCTCCTGAACCATGTCTCTGCAGTGTTGAGCTGTGACTTACGGGACACATTTTCTCCGGTCACCTGCCCACGCAGCAGGCACCTGCCGGGACTGGTGCAGCACAGGGCAGGTGGCTTGCCCGGCTGTGCCACGGGGTGGGGGGCGTCACGGGGCCCCTCCGCACGGCCGGGGCCAAGCTTGGCGGTGCAGTCCTGTAGTCCCCACTGCTCAGGAGGCTGAGTGTGAACCGTCACACTCAGTTCACACTGCGGCGCCCCAGTGTGAACTGTCAGCACCGAACCGTTTAGCAAGTACGTGGTGGAGCAGTCCCCAGTCTCTCGCTGTCTGTTCAGTTCGCATCTCCCAGACTTGGAATAGATGTTTCCAGTTCAGGTCCACGCTGTTTTCAGAGTCCTAATTGCTGTTTTCAGAGTCCTAATTGCTTCTCAGTAACTTTGCAATTTGTTTCTCCTGTGCAAGTTCTTGAGCCTTACAGAAGAAGATCTGAACAAGTTTGAGTCCCTCACCATGGGAGCAAAGAAAAAACTCAAGACTCAGCTGGAGCTGGAAAAGTGAGTGCGCGGTTGTTCCGAAGCCTGTGTGTCCCTCAGTCTCTCGTGTGCCGCGGGGGTGCCGAGACTTACAGTTTTGCTAAATGTCGGGGATTGGGTTACTTGTTAGCGCTCATCCAATCCTCGGTAATTGTTTTAACGTGCCACACAGGTGGCTTTGGAGTGACAGGAGATGCCCTCTGTGGTAGATTCGACCCTTTCCCGCCCTTAAGACGGTTTTGCTGGGAACCGCCCTCGTGCGATTTGAACAGTGTGGAGACGGCGAGGGCCGCGGCGCTCACGTGCTCCTGTGCTGCTCTGTTCACAGGGAGAAGTCGGAGAGACGGTGCCTGAACCCCTCGGCCCCGTCCTTGGTCACCAGCAGCGGCGTGGCGCGCGTGCCCCCCACCAGCCATGTTGGACCCGTGCAGGCTGGGCGGGGCAGCCACGCTGCAGGTGGGGGAGCTCTCACGCGGCTGCCCTGGGTTTTCATGATAACTAGACCTCAGGTCACATCCGTTTGCCATTTACATTTTTTAATCTTTATACTTATTTTATTTTAACTTCTGTGGTCTCTGCCATAAGAGAACAGATGGGACGGTGGGTTAGAGCTGGAGGGGGGTCACTTGTCCGAAGTCGTTTGGGCAGAATGGCCAGGTCTAGAAACCACCGGGTGACAGAGCGCTCTGAGGTGGGCAGACGCGAGAGGAGACGCTCTCTTCCCAGGATTGGCGCTCGGGTCAGGTTGAGGTCAGCGCCAGCCTGCCAGGGCAGCTGGTTCTCCATCGACCCCCTGCTCTGGGGGGATCGAGGTCCCCGTGGCGTGCCCTTTTCCTTCCTTCTTGCTCTCCTCTGAGGAAGGGCCGGGACCTGGTGACAGGGGCTCTGCTCTCTCAGGGCAGCCGGGCCTTCCTTTAGCCCAGAATCCCCCGGGGGAACAGGGAGAAAGCCCATCCGTGCCACCCTCAGTCACTGGACCACAGGGACGTCACTCGGCCAGCCTCGCAACCCGGGTGTCTCTCCGTGTCTGTGAGCGATAGGGATGAAAAGGGCGCGTGTTCGGGGGTCTTGGTGTTCCTGGTGTCGGGTGGGGCAGCGCCCGCCTGAGTTTTGCTTCCTAACCCCTGTGTGTCCCAGGGCGGCGGCTGTCCCCAGAGACGCTCAGAGCCCCGTCTGCCCCTGGAGGTAGCACCGGCTCCTTGGGGCTGATGGTGCGGTCCATGCGCACGGGGCGGGTGGCGGCTGAGCCAGGAACCCCGGCCAACGGCCCTTCGCTTGTCCCCTCTCCGCAGAGCTGCGGGTGGAAGTGGAGCAGCCCCCTCACCAGCTTCCCCGGGAAGGCAGCTCCTCGGAGTACTCCAGCTCCTCCTCCAGCCCCATGGGCGTGCAGGCCCGCGAGGAGAGCTCTGACAGCGCCGAGGAGAACGACAGACGTAAGGGCGCCGGCGTGGCGCGTGGTGCTGGCCCGTCCCGGGCGCGAGACGGTGCTGACTGCTCTGTTTCCACCTCTAGGTGTGGAGATTCACTTGGAGGGGCCCGACAAGGAGAAGCCGGTGATGCTGCTGAACCACTTCACGCCGAGCAACGCGCGGCCCACGGCCCAGGTCCTCCCCGTGCAGAACGAGGCCGGCTCCGCGCCGGCGGGACACCACCCGCTGCCCCCGCAGATGATGGGCGCGGCCTCGCACGTGGCGCCCATGCGGATGCTGAGTTCCGTGCACAAGTCGGAAAGAGGAAACGCGGACATGAAGCTGCTCTCGTCCTCCGTGCACTCGCTCCTGTCTCTAGAGGACAGGAACAAGGGGTCTGGCCCAAGGAGCGGCGTGAAGGTGGACAAGAGCTTCGGCGGGGCCATGGTGGACGCGCTGCCCCCGCCCACGCCCCACCAGCCCGTGCAGGTGCTCTCCGGGCTCTCGGAGGGCGGTTCCATGTCACCCACCGTCTCCTTTGGTCCCCGAGCCAAAGTCGTGCACGCGTCCACACTGGACAGGGTGCTGAAGTCGGCGCAGCAGCCGGCCCTGGTGGTGGAGACCAGCACGGCCGCCCCGGGGACGCCCAGCACGGTCCTCCACGCGGCGCGGCCGCCCATCAAGCTGCTGCTGTCGTCCTCCGTCCCTGCTGAGCCTGCCATTTCCGGGCAGACGTCCTGCCCCAACAGCGTGCAGATCAGCGTGCCCCCGGCAATAATCAACCCCCGGACTGCCCTGTACACAGCCAACACCAAAGTTGCCTTCTCCGCGATGAGCATGCCAGTGGGCGCCCTGCAGGGCGGCTTCTGCGCCAACAGCAGCACTGCCTCTCCCAGCAGCCACCCCTCCACGTCCTTCGCGAACATGGCCTCGCTGCCCAGCTGCCCGGCCCCCAGCTCCAGCCCCGCGCTGTCCTCCGTCCCCGAAAGCAGTTTCTACAGCAGCAGTGGTGGCAGCAGCTCCACAGGGAACATCCCTGCCTCGAACCCGGGCCACCACCACCACCACCACCATCAGCAGCCCCCGGCGCCTCCGGCGCCTGCGCCGCCCCCGCCCGGCTGCATCGTGTGCACGTCCTGCGGCTGCAGCGGTAGCTGCGGCTCTGGCGGCCTGACCGTCAGCTACGCCAACTACTTCCAGCACCCGTTCTCCGGGCCGTCCATGTTCCCCATCTCCTTCCTGTCCTTCAACCCCAGCTACGTCAGCGCCCAGCAGTACGGCGGCGGCTCCACCTTCCCGGTCGTGCACGCCCCCTACAGCAGCAGCGGGACCCCTGAGCCCGTTCTGGGCGGGCAGTCGACGTTCGCGGTGCCACCGATGCCGAACTTCATGGCGGGGACGGCGGGGGTGTACCAGGCCCAAGGCTTGGTGGGTAGTAGCAATGGCTCCAGTCACAAAAAGAGTGGGAATCTGTCTTGTTACAACTGCGGGGCCACCGGTCACCGCGCTCAGGACTGCAAGCAGCCGTCCATGGACTTCAACCGGCAAGGTAAACGCGCGCGGCGGCCGGGTCCTGCGGGGCCCGCCTTGCAGGCTCTGCGCCCCGCGGGGCTCCCACGGGAGAAATACACACAAATGCTTGGTTTTAATGAAAATAATAGTACGCTGTTTTCTTTTTAAAGCAATTAATAATTTTCCGGATACTCTGAAACAGTGTGAAAATCTTACAGATAAGCTATGACGTCCCCAGAAGGGTTCCTGTCGGTTCTGAGACTGTCTTTATGGTTTCAGACAACTCCTGATTCTAGAAGGCGAGCGGCCGGTGCGCAGAGCCTGGGCTCTGTCCGGTCTTGCCACGTGCCGGACCAGCAGGTGTGAGGGGTTCAGTGCCACCCCTGGGCACGGATGCTCAGGCCATGGCACGGAAGTCCAGGGCCTCCGGGGTGGGGCTCGGGGACCCTCTGCGCCCACCCCCCGTGTCCCGGGTGTCTCACACGTGCTGCACGTGCGTCTTTTCCCTCCTCTCCTCGTCTGTTTCCTTCCACTCTGTGTTTTGACTCCTTTCGCCACGTTCCAGTGTGTGTCTGCTGCGCCCTTCACAGCAGCTTATTCTCGCTGTCTGTTCCGGGAAGATTGGACGGGGTAGAGAAGGCGGGTCCCGACGCTGGCTGTTCCCCGCGCAGCCTGGGATCTCCGCGGACCTCCCGTAACTCCGGAGGGTCGTGGCAGATCCGTGCTCCCCAGGCCTGCCCCCGCTCCCACCCCCGGAGAGTTTGTAGGGACACACGCTGTCTGATTCAGTAGGTCTGATTGTGGGGTGGGTGGGGCGATGGTCTGTGTTTCTGGGGGCCCCTCCCTTCAGAGCGCGGTTGCACTTCCTGAGGCAGAGGGTGCCTGCCGGGCTGTGCTGCCCTCAGCTCTGGGTGCGTTAGACCAGCCCGCCCACCTTGCGTCTGACTCCCAGAAAAAAAGAGTTCCTGTGAAGTAAAGAAATGGATCGGTTACTTCCCTCAAGTCAGTCTACCCCAGTCCGATTTCATAAACTTTAAAAAATGACCTCCAGGCCAGGCGTAGTGGCTCACGCCTGTAACCCTAGCACTCTAGGAGGCCAAGGCAGGAGGATCGCTTGAGGTCAGGAGTCTGAAACCAGCCTGAGCAAGAGCAAGACCCTGTCTCTCCTAAAAAAAATAGAAAGAAATTAATTAGAGGCTAACTAAAACTATATAGAAAAAATTAGCCCGGCATGGTGGCACATGCCTATAGTTCCAGCTACTCGGGAGGCTGAGGCAGGAGGATTGCTTGAGCCCAGGAGTTGGAGGCTGCTGTGAGCGAGGCTGACGCCAGGGCACTCTAGCCCAGGCATCAGAGCGAGACTCTGACTCCAAAAAAAAAAAAAAAAAGGGCTTCCAGTGTTGGGAGGGGAAGGAGGCGGGTGTGGCTGGCCCAGGGGGTCGAGGTTTCCGGCACCAGAATCCTGACCAGTGACTCTGGAACTAACTGGGCAGGTTGGCGGCTTGTGGTGACTCTACAGCGAATCATATTTGATCTCTTTTTCCCTCCTCTCTAGGTACTTTTAGGTTGAAATATGCCCCCCCAGCAGAAGGTCTGGACTCCGCAGATTGATATTTTTCTCTGGCAGCAGAACATTATTAAGCCATGGAGACATAAGGAAAATTAAATACAAAACTGAGAAGTCTAGTTGCTGTTGAGCTTAATATTTTTAATCCAAAGGTGCTTTACTTTCCTAGACTGGATAGAAAACCTAGCATAGAAGTACATCAGACTCGATTTTATTGCCAAAACCCTAGATTGGAGCTTGATGTCAGGACGTGGCCTAGCGGGTATCTCCGCGGTGGTGGAACTGGCCGTCTGCGCTCTTGGCCGCAATGCAGAGGTGGCGTGTCTCCCGAAGAGCATTGCTGTCGTTGGTCCTTCTAGGCTCACACGTAATTCCAGGGCAGCTACGTGATCTGAACCGAGACCTGAAGGCTGGAGTTCTCCGAGTGGAGTTCCACCCGCCGGACTCTTGACACCCCTGGGTTAGGGAAAATGTCGACTTTGTTTTGTTTTTTTTCTTAAAGTGATTAGGCACTAATCTCTGGGATTTTTAAGGATTGCACTACAGAAGAATGTAACCTGATGTAAATCTCTGCAGTTCTGGGAGACAGACTCCTCCGAGACCAGTCAGTGCAAGAGACTCAAATAATAATCCACATACACAGAGTCGGCACCAGCAGGCTACTCGACTTAGTACACAACAGAGATTTTAGTACTTCCTTCCCTCCTGCAAACACTTAATAGCAGTTCCAGGTTTTTAATTTTTTTCTGCAAATAAATTAAAACTACATTATTAAGTAGAAATAGTTTACTCGCAACAACTTAATTTCTAAGGGTCCAAGTCCCAGAGAATCCATAGTCGTCAAGGCTTTGAGACTACCTTCCTTCCCAGCCGTTCAGTGTCTTTGAGCCCTGACATCTTCCACTACAAACGAACTCTCGCAGGGACAGGGTGACAGTGCGGCTGTGTGACTTGGCTGTGAGGGATGCCGCACATCCTTGGCAGAGTTTGCAAGTTGCTTTCTGTCACACGGGCTCCCCAGGAACCCCCAGCCCCAAGGCTCACTGCTCATGGATTCACACCTGAGACAGACATTTCAGCAGTAATACAGTCCTCTCACTTATGAGCAAAAGATTGGGGATTTTCTCCCGTCGCTTCTTTTGTATTAGGCTGTGTACTGACAGTCAATTCCGTTAAAAATTACCTGGAAATCTTCAGTGGACAGTGGTAGGACTCTGGAAGAAAGAGGCCACACACAGGAGACAGAGCTACGAGATCTGTGCAAGTCTGGTTTTTGTAAGGTAGGAAATAAAAGTCTTCACTGTCGGTCTCTAAATTTCAGCCACTGAAATGAAAGCATTTTCCTCTGAAATTTAGGGACTTACTTACATCTTCAAGGTTAAAGGGAATTTTCTGCTCAAGTAATATTATTTAAGATGCTAAAGCCTTCAATATTACAATATTGATTGGTAAGGTCTTGCCAGGGACTTTCCAGTTGAATATCTACTTTTTTAAAAATTACAATATTCAGACCCATTCTAAAATGGGACAATCAGCCTCATGGAAAATTGGTATCAATCAAAAGAACGCCCTAGAACGTGAGGCCTCTCGAGGGAGGTCAGTTTCCTGACGTAACGGAAACAAATGACAGAGTTGTTACGTTTTCTTGCGGAAGGCTTTTCGGTAGAGTTTCCAGTTCTGTTTCAGTAGAGTTTTATTTCTATGCAATGCAGAGCTGACGGGCCTCTGTCTCTGCGCTCCTGGTGCGCGGCGCTGCGGCGCTGCAGCGACGGCGATGCGGACACGCGGCTGTCGAGGGGAACGTTACGCTCATCTCTCGAATCATAAACACTACGAAATGTCAAAACAGTGAGAACGACACAACTTTGCCTTAAAGAGTACTAGACTGGACCTTATCACATTATGTTCGAGGAAGACTTAAGAGTGTTCATTGATGTTTACGATTTTAATATTTCTGAGGCTATTATGGTGGCCTGCATATGTGCTGAAAGCCAAACTTTTAAATTTTTTTTTTTTTTTAAGCAAAGAAATATTTTAAATAAATCCTATCTCAACACAGTGAAATTGTTGAAAACCGTCTCATAACGAAAGTAAAAATCATTTAAAATTTTTTGTTTTAGTGGTCAGTACAGGGGAATGGAAGTATCTGTTGCTACCCTTGTAACTATTTTGATAAATATTCAAGGTTAACCTTAAATATAACACAGTTAGGACAGAAACTTCGGTTTGCAGCATGACATTCAGAGTTGAGACAGATAAGTTCTGGCGTCGTGTGGCTGTACAGGTCCGGCCTTCAGAGGTCTTTGAGAGCGTGTGTACAGTGTGACGTCTCCCGGGCGGCCGTTCCAAGTCGAGAGTGGTGAGACGCGTGACTTACGCGGAACAGAGGCGCGGCCGCGGCTCACGAGACCTCTTCCTGAGGGAGCCGCACACTTGGACTTGAGATTATGTGCTAGCGGGCTTATCTCTGATGAATTCCTCTCCACAAGCAGCCGAGGTCAGGGCGCCTGAAGAGCATTTTGCGTTTCGTCAGGAGGCTTCCTCGCCAGGTAAACACACACAGCACCCCGGCCCTTTCAAGTACTGGGTCGTTTTCCTGAACTTGTGGCCTCAGTTTCAGAATGCCGTAGCAACCAGGTAGGTGTGGCACCGGCCACTTCTTGGCTCTTTGTAGTCTGTCGGATATTAAAGTTTCTAACACCGTTTTCTCATATCCAAGAACGGGGAAAGTGGAATGTGGAGATGGAGGGAGAAACAATGTTGGGATAAAACAACTATTTAATCTTTCATTTTATTTTTTAAACAAAACAGTTTTTTGCCTTATTTTCTAATTTTTATTTCGTGGTGACATTGACAATTGGTATTAGACATTAGAACTCCTGATGGCTAAAGAGCACTGAGGAGGTGGGCGCTATCTTCACTTGGATGAAGATAAAGACACTGTCTTGAACACGCATAGCGATTGGGTATTCAAAAAACCAGCATCATCCATCATCTCTGAAAGATTACAGGAGTCAGCTTGTTAATACGGTAGTTAGTAGGTTCTGTATTTTAATTCAGTATTTAGCATTCTAGTCCTTTGTTGCCAGAAGTCAGTATATAGTTTGTACTACACACTGCACTGGGGCACTGTGGCGGTGGTGGTGGCTTTGCTGGGACACCCCAGCTGTCCTGTGGTTCATACCTCAGCACAGGCTGGCGAGGCTCCGCTTGCCCACGCTACGTACTGCTCGTGGGCACTTGCTGGGCGGGGCCGGGCCACTCCCTCCTCCATCCCTGTCGTGTCCGTCACCTTCCCTGCTTCCTCGTGTTTCCTGCCTCGCTTGCTTTCCATCCTGGTCACAATTGAGGTCTTCACGTTGTGAGGGTCGCCACCTCCCTGCTCGACTCAACCCCCACCGCAGGCAGGAGTCCTGTGCAACCTTAGCGGGGTCGGCTGTCCTTGCCAAAGTGCAGGTGACTCCCAAAGAACGAGTCAGGTGACATTTAAAGCCATGGGTTCTGAAGAGGCTGAATTGTTGCAAAGTCCCAAGGGTCTGAATGAAAGTGATCATCCTTAATCAACACTCTATTTGCAATATTCTAGAAAACCATATACTGTGCTGGTTGAGGCCAAAGGTCAAGGTTGCTGCACTGTTCACCAAGGGAGGGGAGCAGCGGCCTTCAGCCCCGCTCCAGCTGCACGTGTGTCGTAACAGCCTCTCACATGTGCAAGTTCTCATGTGCACAAAAAGATGAGGCTTTGGTACCGAATCCGAGAACCTTGTATACTCTGCACAGCTTCTATTTGGACATAATTTCTTTTTAGGAATGAAGGAAAATTCTCCCATTTTTGAGCCATTCTTTTGTCAATTCTACAAAATTGCATGTAACTTTATAAATATTTTTAAAAGATATAGTTTTGTAAATATTTAATATTCTGCTAATTTGATTTTGAATTGTAAATGTCAAGTATTCTGTTTTTGGGGTTTTTATGTTTTATTATACTTTGTTAAAAAGGAAAAATTGTACATTTTTAGAATGTTTTTATGAGTAAATTTAATGTACTGAAAATAAAAATTAAAAAAAAGGCTCAGTATCTGATTTTATTTGGCCTTTGTCTCAGAACATGAAGCACACATCTTTTCAAATCACAGTCTTGCTCTCCAAACTAGGGATCCTACCCTTTCTGCCTACTTCCCAGACTTACAGAAGGGGTACTTGGGAGGAGACAGCACCCACGGGCAGCCCCTCCGACACCCTATGGGGTTGTCTTAAGGGAGCTCTTAAGACAGGATGGCGCACATGTGCGCTTCTCCTGAGTGCTGGCGTGGGGACAGCATCCTCGTCTCGCTCCCTTGTATTTTTGTACACGCGCTTAAGTGCCTGAACTGCGTTGGGTCAGGTTTCCTAGATGAGCACCGCTGGCCGCTCCGACCAGGAGCACTGAAGTTGTATCTCTTTACCTAATGCCGGCAGCTCCTCACTTGGTCACCTGAGGTCACACTTTCCTGACCATACCCGCCACACTCTGTTCCCTTTGTGCTTGTTCCACTTTGGTGGCAGCTGGTTTGGGGCAGGAGGTTGTCAGGTGTTTATTCCCACAAAACACCTTGTCCCACACCCATCTTCCAGTTTGTAGCAGGTCCATAAGTTCTCATGAGAATTTAGTTTGCAAGACCAGGTGGTGGGGCTCTAACCTAGGTGAGGCAGGTGCGGGCGGATGTGCCCGGAGGCTCCGTGTTGGGAAGATAATGAACTGCTTGGCTTTGGAGAGAACCTAAAGTGTGGGATCCAGAGTCTCAAATGCTGATCTCATTAAATTAAGCTTTGATGACAGTTTTTAATTGTGCCTTTATTCACCTTAGTTCATTAAAAATGTACTTATTTTTAAAGATCCTATAAATAAAGTGACCAACCACTAGTCTCACACACGCACGCACACACTCCCAGTGCGGTATTTTGTTTTTGTTTTGTTTTTTAAAGCAGTATTTCTTATAGGAATCTTACTGGTCACATAGTAGTTACAAGAATGTCAGATATAATGTGTACAATCTAAAGACAGGCTGGTTAAGAATTTACATAATGTAAAAATATACATATTAAAAGTTAGCCAAGTGGACACGTGCATGCAGTGGGGGACCCCTTTAATGAGCAAAGATGAGGGGAGGACTCGTGCTTTTCCCTCCATTAGAGTAAACATCTCTCACTGACAGATACAGTACTCCACACACATCTGAACACACAAGGGGAAGCTGTGGCCTGCTACATGTGCAGTCTGAGGCGGCACCACTGTGATCTTTCTGTGATACTCCCAAGAAAACAGTGAACAGTGAGCCCCATGCAGCAGTAGGGTTTATCACAGGCTGTACGTGGAAGATGGTTAAGTCTGCGTTAGTATTTGTAAAGAGCATATGTCTCGTTTGGCTGCGTTTCCTCCACAACTGACATGCACTTAGAGTGGGAGAATGGTGGTTTGACCTAAGTGATAATTGAACTACTCTTTAAAATGTGAAAACCTTTTAATAACATTTTAGTTAAACACCCAACATAAAAAAAAACATGGATCACCTATAGCTTTAAGCCAAAAGGTAGGAGTGCATCTGAATTTCAATGCTTTTAATTTTCCTACTCTGTGGTTTCTGCCACTGTCCTAAGGAATGACGGTGGTAAAACTGCTTGTTCATCTACCAACGCAGGCACTAATTTGAGCTCTTAGAGAAGATCCAAAAGAAGAAATACCACTCTTTTTCTCTGGGGCCTCTTAAGAAACTAGACCAAAATTATAAATTATTCAAGGTTCCTATTGAGTGGTGGTGTTTTTCTGTAACTGTCCAGAGAGCATAGACTTGGGGTAAACTGCTAAGAGTCAGGGACCCTGAGCAGCAGTTGAGGGTTGTTTCCCTACACGCCCCATGCACCTGCTTTTGTGCCTGCTATTACAGCACATGTGTTTTGGGGGATCGTGCTTGACTAACTTTTGCCTAAAGATCCTCTGAGGAAGATTTCTCCAGTTGAATAGAAACCCTTCTATAAAAAGGTGGCAGGTTCTGAGAACCCAAAGAGAAGACTCAGTGTCTCTCTGAACGCCTTTAAATTATTGCTCAAATTGCAAGTTCCTATTGGGGGAAAAAGAGCATTAAAATAACTTGAAGGTCTATGTGTTGGCAACTTAGAATGCAAAGTATTTTATTTTTAAACTTCTAAGATCTGAAAACAAGATAGCCTAAGTTAAGTGATATAGTTTTCCAAAGCTGAATGTGCTCATTTGGAGCTCAGTTTTTCTGTCTGAAATACAAAAACAACTTCCTAAAACCCTAGGAGGTGCGAACACTACGGTTTTGATGATCTGTGATTAGATGAACTGATCAATCTCAGTTGGTAACATCCCTTTTTTTCCTTGGTAAGGGTTTAAAAAGTTCTAGAATGGGTGCATTTTTCTGGTCTTACACTGCCAATTTCATTCCAAACGTCTCCTGGGAGGCGTATACCATGTACAGGAACCCATCCTCATCCTTCTCGCTCTCGTACACCTCTGAGATGGGCGTGGAGACGCTCACCATGCTGTGTCCGTTCACCAGCAGGAAGAAGGCTTGGTTAGCGCTGAGCTGTAAGCGCCTTCTATTGAAAGAAAACAATATGAAGAAATACACATCAATATATTAAGTATGTAGCGTGTGTGAAAATATCACCCACCCTGATCGATAAAATATTAAGATTTTGTAAAGGCTGCTGCTGAATCTATTACTTCTCATGGAGAATATTTCTATGATTATACTGATGTTCAATATTAGCTATAATCACTGAAAGATTATTCTTACTGTATTCCTGAGACTAGTGTTAAGCCAGTATGCTGTCGAATAGGCAGGTAAGTGTCTAATGTAAGAAAAGCAGCTCAAACTAGTTTACAGACAGAAGTGCAGCTGACTGCAGATTTTAATCAGAACTAAAGATTCATCTGTAAGTCTGATAATGAGAAGTTACACAACGGACATATAAAACAATGGTGGTTAAATACCTAATTATCTTGATGAGTTCACTCATGTTGACGTGATCAGGTACGAGAAACTTGGTCTTATCCAGTACAGGAAGCTGCTTCTCACCCTTGTATCGTTCTATTATCACCTAGGAAAGAAGCCAGAAGAAATTTAAAAAGTCACCAACAATGAAAAATAGATAAAAATGCTTCCTATGTTGTAACTGGCACAGGCCAAAATGGGATTCAAATAGCACCTTCATTCGTTTTCTCAAAACTCTCCTATGCAGAGTGATGAGTTACTACCTCAGCCTCTATTCTTTACAAAACACGGTACATAAGAAGAGATGTCATGGCCGCTACCAGGTGAGCAGATGGCCGCAGGGCGGGCAGAGATACTTTGCTATGTATCCTTTCATTCTGTTTTGAGTTTGGAACCATGAAAAATAAACTACCTAGTCAGAAAAAGACCCCAAGCCTTAGAGGAACAGAAGCTGGGTACCAGATTCAAGTGCAAAGATCCGAAACAACTCTGCATCCGGACTAATACCACCAGTTCCTGAGACGTGAGAAGTTCTAATGAAAGCAAGTGCATGTCTTTTAATGAAAGTATAAGTTCAGCCAGGCACAGTGGCTCACATCTGTAATCCTAGCACTTTGGGAGGCCAAGGCAGGAGGATCACTTGAGCCCATGAGTGTCAGGTTGCCATAAGCTATGACGATGCCACTGCACTCTAGGCAACAGCGAGAGACATTGTCTCCCCCCCCCAAAAAAAAAGTCTAAGTTCTTAATTATGGTAATATACTCAATGTTTTCCCATACTAGAGTCTGTCTATTTGACATAAAATATTGTAAGTAAATATTTGACAAGCCAAATAGAGACCATGAGTAGCTGGTTCTGGAGACAAAGTTGGTACAGAAGGACTTGGTCCTTTCATTTTGATAAAATATTCTTTGTATTTCTTTAAATGAGGTTAAAATTGAATTAAGTATGGGAACTCCATAAGGAACAAAAGTAGTTCCTTCCACGTTGTGAACTGAAATGAATCCATTAGCTCCTTGCCATACTGCCTTTCCATGGAGGAACAAAAAAAATGTTTTAGTTCTAAATAGCTATAAAATCTGACCACAGACCTTGCAGCTTCCTTATCATTTGTGTTTTCTGAGTGCCACAGATATCCTTTGCCCTATAATGTTAACTCTATCATGTCAAAACGATGGAAGGCGAGAGATAGGTATGGAAAGTCTTCACGTTTCTCTGGAAAGGAACAATGCTTTTCTATACATTGTTCCATTGTTTGGGACCTATATAAGGTTCTGTGTAAGGCCTAGCCAAGTTGTCATCTTTCTTGCTAAGAAACAGAGCTTTATCTAATGGGCATGTTCAGAAGCATGATATCCACAAAGATGTATCAGTGTGCAGACACCACTTGCCTGGGTTTACATGGCAGAAAAAATTAGAGGCAGTACAGAAATCTTGGATCCTGGCCCCAGGGGAACTCAGAAAAGGCCACAGAATAAGAAAAATTCAAGACCTTAGAATCTTTCTACTAAAGGGACAAATAGGAGTCTGGAAAATGCCAAATGATTATCTTGGGGGACCTTTCTGCTCTCATTTGTTTTGGGTCTGGTCTGCTGTGAGAGACACCGTTCTAGCAGGTCCTGACTCATAGAGGGCCCTGCCTGGAAGCTGGCCCCAGGGGCCAAGTGAGACAACTGTGAAATTTCTACCCAGTCTAGGGAAAACAGAGAACACTGCGTCTTTTACTGTAGCTAATCGTGCAGTTGGGAAATTGCTGGGCAGACCCCATTTCTTCCTTCTGTCCACTTGTAAAACCCCAATACAGCCAACATAGCAGCTTCTACCCGAGCCATCTTTTACCCTCTTACCCCTCTCAATTTTGTACGAATGGACCAGTCAGAAAGCCAAACATGAAAGTGTCCATAGAACTCAGCAGTGGAGTTCTTTTCTCAGTGGTCTATAAAATTATGAGGTAATATCAGCCAACATCAAGTGACTGCCCCTGGCCCAGAACTATGCAAATCTTTGCAATAACCATATGGGATTCTCTTCCCATTTTATAGATGAGGATGCTGGATCTCCTCTCAGAACTTTGTTATGTAGTCCAAGATTACTCAGTACCCTTGAACCTAGGTCTTGACCTTGACCTGTCTGAAACCAAAGGTAGGTTTCTCTAGACCAAATACCTCAGAAGGCCTGTCTAACATCCACCACCAAAGGATTTAGAGCAGAAGATGCTGGTGGCTGGGCAAAGCCATAAGAATCTGAGGCCCCTACACACGACAAGAAAGAACAGTGTCTTTTCTCCACCCCCTGCAAGGATGCAGGAGACTCTGGCATCCCTCAATTTGCAGTTATGTTTAAATCCTGAGAGCTACTGATTTTCCCATAGCAGTAGTCTGTTTGCTTCCTTGAAAAGACAGGTAATAGGGCCAGGTGTGGTGGCTCATGCCTGTAATCCCAGCACTTTGGGAGGCTGAGGCTGGAAGATCCCTTGAGCCCAGGAGTTTGGGGCTGCAGTGAGCTATGATACCACTGCACTCTTGGTGGGGCACCAAAGCAAGACCCTGTGTCTCAGGGGGGGGGGGGGAAAGACAGGTAATACTTCTTTCCATAGTAAAACATGAACAATTCTAGCCCTCCTGTCCCTTTCTCCTCAAATATTTACATTTGTGAAATATGTAAAGGCAGCAAACTCAGACTTAGGAAAAATGTTTAGATAGTAAAACTGTCAAATAATATCTCAGTTCTAAGCTGGGTGCTTGCAGTCCCAGAGACCTGGGAGTCTGAGGCAGAAGGACTGCTTGAGCCTAGAAGTTTGAGGAGGCTATAGTGCCCTATGATCCCACCTGTGAACAGTGACTGCACTCCAGCCTGGACAACATAGCAAGATCCCATCACTTAAAAAAAATAAAAACCTCCACTTTAGGTTATGAAAATGACACACAGGGTTTGAATGTCTAGGGATCCCTATAGAATTCCCTGTCAAATGGGTGTGCTTGAGCAGCAGTGTTCTGAAGCTGTACTTGCCAGAGTATTCTCCTCTGTATACATTAATGACTAACACAGATGCCGGAGACTACCTACCGGGATTTTGGTAGGATGCTGCTCTCGGATAAGTCGGACATCTTCTACTCTTTGCTCTGCAATGAAAGGAAAAGACATGGGTGTTATTTAGGACCAGGCAGCTTCTTCCTAGCATTTCTACCGGTTCTACATCTAAATTCAGCTGTTCTTAGCTGTGGCATAGCAGAGCAGTGAAGACATCTTTCCTAGAGCCAAACAGTAACGCTTCATATCTGACAGAGGCCAAAAGCTAAGTATAAGAAAACCATGCGGCAACTGCATGGCTCTGTCAAGTGGTGTGACACAAAACCAGCAGCACAGAACCCCTAGTTTCAACGGACTAGAGCCCAGGTTTGTAGTCAGGTATGCTAAGCAGGTTAACTGTGTAGGATCCCATCTTTCCTACAAGGATTCCTACCGCCTATATTATCCACATCAATTTCTGTTAATCTCTCATAGTTTTTTAAGTTGGTATAGGAATCCATTATAAATCACAGACTATTCAATACAATTTCCTTATTATTTCCAACCTTTTACTGATATGGTGCTTAAGAGAAAAGAAACTGCTCAAGAGAAAGGAATATAGAAAGAAAAGAATATCCAATTTGAGTTTTAAATAGTTTTGCTCAGTGCCTAAAAGAAAGCAAAGCTTAAAGCACAAAGTCTACTATTGAATACTTCTGTGAGAACATCTCTATTCCCCCCCTTTTAATATAATCACTCCTTTATAATTTTAACAGTTATTCTAGTCTCTCTGGACAATGCAGGAAAAAACACGCCAAGTCCAGTTCTCAATAAACTGACAAAAGTTGGAGAGATATGTCATTACAAAGCAATATGTGAACATAATGATTTAGATGACATTATTTAAAGCTTTCAACCAAAAAAATGAACAAAATCAGCTTAATTTACTATAGTAGGATTCATTCTCATGGTATCTGGAAATAAATGATCAATGTCATGAACTTCCTTGATAAGGTGGTTCTGGAAAGAAGATACTATGACCTATATAAATATAAATTTATTCTAATATTGTTGCCAATCTCATCTGGATTTAAAACAATTTTATTATCACTCTTTATAAATACTATTATAAAAAACTCCTGTGTGCAAGTGCAGCCATACTACTGTTCTATTTTCCCACCTGACATCTTTTTTAGTGTTCAATACTAATTTACTGAACACAGACATACACTGTGCAGCTGGAACATGATTTGGACCACCCAACATTTCAGCTTCTAAACATAAACTAAAGAAAACATCTTTGCTGTGGACAAAGACTGCAACTTCACAGACTGCTGCCGGTGCATATTCCTGAGTAAGTCAGAAAATAAAGATAAATTCAGCTATAATAAACTTAACTGAGTATTTCGCCCAGCTGCGCTGAAAACCCAGTGAGCCTGGAGCAACTGTGTTTGGTAGCTGCTCTTTTTCTTAAGTAGACAGCTGTTTCAGAGGTTAACAGTACGTTTAACAAAAGCATTGCCAACAGGTATCGATGTATAGAAGGAGGGCAAGTCTTTTGCTCCACTGTTTCTAGGGTAGGAGATGTGTTTACTCCTTGTCTTCCACAGCAGACCACCCCTGCCCTCAGGCCCAGCTCCAGTCCCCCCCACATCCTGAGGGCTGGGGCTTGTACACAGACATGATTAATAAACAACCGAAGGAAAGCTGTAAAATGGAAATGAATGCTCCCAAATGCACACTAACATCTATTTCCCCAGATTCCTTTCCTCTGGTCTCTAAGAATCCTTAGAAGCCTTACAAACAGACAAAAATGAAGGGGAGAGTCTAAGGTGTCTAACTCTAACTAGCATATTATTTGCAAAGTTGTCTGAGATATCCTCAAGTATTTAAAATGTAAAATTTTAGTTACACACATTTCCCAGGATTCATTTCACTAATAGAATGTAAGCATAATAAACATTTCTCCCAATCTCTGTTGATAAGCCATGAGTGCCAGCCAGGCTTCCACATAAATCACTCTCCAGTCCCCCAGCACGGCAGTTTGAGCTGTTTTTTTCTAGACCAACCCATAAACCTTCCAAAGACAAACATTTCCACTGGGGCAGCTTAAGACCTAAGTTTACCAACCTTGACAAAATTTCAGAACAGTATTTGGGAAACAGATCTGTTATTTAAAAAACTGGGGACCTCAGAAGAAAATGGAGTGAAATTATTGCATTTGAGAAGACCAAATACGAACTTTGCTCAATTTCACTTTTTGAAGTGGGTTAAATTTTTCAAAACCACCTGCAAGGACACACACTGTCTCCTGGCTCACTCTTGGTCCACTCCTCACATTAGACATGATGGGTATCTGCCTGAGACTGGGATCCAGGCCAGGAGGCTATGGGTACCAGCCCAGACTCTGCCACTAGGTGGACCACAATCTTCCTTTCCCGGCTCCACCCAGTTTGTTTAGCTACAAAAGGGGTTGTTTTGTATGAGCCCCCAGATCCAAGTCAACTTTAAGAACCTTCTTGGTCCTGATAGCAGCAGAGCTACATTCAGCTTTAAATTAGCCTTAAACTCACTCACTGGGAAAGGGAAAGAACCATTCAAGCCAACTGGGGCTGGTCTTGGGTTCTATACAGAGGTTCTCTCCAAAGAACTGACTCCCCTTATTTGCTGTACTACAAAGACTATACTTTCAGGGGTAATTTCTATCGTTCGTTGCTGTACTACAAATCTCTGAAAATTGTCAGCACTTGTTGTCAAGATTACCAAAATCAGAAGCTAGGAAAGACAATAGCCGTTAAATGATACTTTTCTACAAAATGACCATTAAAGAAAACGTTAAGGGTGGTGGGAGAAATAAAGGTGAGCTAAGGAGAGCCACCAGAAAATAAATACAGCACATATAAGATATATACACCAATGGGGAGGGGTGAAGGCCATTCCAGTTGGTTTATACTCCCAGGGCCACTTTCAGGTTCCAGGCAAATTCCTTGTTGTGACGTGTTCATCTTGTTTCCTACCCTTACTACCTACTCTTCCTCAAGGACTTTTCCAGAATAGCCCAAAGGTACTATAAGCAAAACTATAGTTTGCATGATGAGAAAAAAGCACCTCTCCTACAAAAACGTCCCCCGTTAACTTCCATGCCAGAGTTGGTGAAGACAGAAACCAGATAAGACAGCAAGTCTACCTCAAATGTTGCTCTCAGGTCTCCATAAAGCCTTAGACAATACCAATAAGTTCATTAAGGTTACTAAAGAGAAAACTTTCTAACGAAAAAAAGGCATGTCTAAGTCTTGCTGACCAACAAACGGCCTCAAGAGGCTGTATGAAAAGACACTCTTGGCAGGCCAATGTAAATTTCCATTTACTGAAACGTCTCGGGCACAAGAAACCAAAATAATTGTCAATAATGAGACACTCAAAACCATATCCAAACTCAAATGAACGCCAAGCTCCTTCTGGACTCTTCCAAGAAACTAGGCACAAGCAGACCAACAGCACCACTGTTTAAGACCCCAAAGAGGATCAGCACACGAACCTCGCCGTCCGCTGGAATGACACCGCTTTCCCACGACTCCTGCTGTCGTTCAGACCTGTCACAAGCAAGCCCTGCAAGACAGACATGCGAACCTGCCGGGATGTCACTGCAGAGCATGCCTGCTTAAAGAGAGAAATAACCACTTCTTTCTCCTCGTCTGTGTGCAGTCAATACTGCGATGACGCTTCCATCTTCAACCAGAAGCCAGCATGCCTACGGTGGGCCTCCCGTCCCAACTGGCAGAAAAGGTAAGAACGAACGGCCAAGGAGGAAAGTCACCCACCCTCGCCCCGGGGCGACAGCAGCTGTCCTAATTCCAGCCGGGACGGCGTCCCGGAGCTCAGTCTTCGCGCCTCTCCACCAAGGAACCGACGTTCACACCTGCCCAGGTGGCCCCTTCCTTCCCATCAACGCAAATCCCCTGAAGGTGACTCGCTCGGACCCTCAGCGGCACCACTTCAGCGCGGGCCTGCCCCAGCTCGGCACCGGGCCCGCCGACCCAGAGCCCGACGCTCCCGGAGGCGCGCTCGCGGGAGGGGCCGGGCCGGCCCGCGGAAGGCGAGGGGGTTCGGCAGCCCAGGAGCCCCCGGGGACGCCGGGCCTCGGCCCCGCTCCGCTCCGCTCGGCCCTCGGCCCCAGGCCCGGGCCCGCTCGGCCCTCGGCTCCCAGCCTTCGGGCCCGCTCGGCCCCCCACAGCTCGGCCCTCGGCTCCAGGCCCGGCCGCGCTCGGCCTAGCCCCCAGCCTTCGGCCCCCGACCCCGGCTCCGCCGGCCCGCTCGGCCCTCCACAGCTCGGCCCCAGGCCCCGCCGCCGCGACCCCCACCGAAGGTGCGGCGCTGCTTGAAGGTCTTCTCCGACGGCATGGCGCGGGGACTGGCTGGCGGCACGGAGGGTCCCCGAGGTTCCGGGGGGCGGCGGAGGATCCGACTCTGGCGACAGCGACTTCCCTTGTGTCTCCTCAGCCCGCAGCCGGGTCAGGTGACCCGCGTCGCGTCACCGGGAGGCGGGGCCAGGGCCGGCCGGGGCCGCCGCCATGGCGGGCGTGGCGGAACCCAGGCCGCGCGCAGCGCGGGGGGCGGGGCCGGCGCGTGCGCGGCAGGGGCGAGGCCGGAGTGCGCGTGCGCAGCAGGGTGGGCCGGGTGTCTGCGGGCGGCGGGGCTCGTCCCGGCCTGTTTACGCCCAGGGCTCCGCAGGCCTGGAGGAGGGCGGAGGGGCGGCACCGGCCCCCAGGGAGCCTGGGCGGGGACGCGGGGACTGGCAGGGCAGACCCTCCCGGGCGTGGTCACTCGGGGGCTGGAGCCGGCCGGGCGGCGACACCGGTGTCCCCGCCGTTCCAAACGAGTGAGGCGGCCGGGCCGGGAGCGGCTTCCCGAGTGGCCACGCTGCTCTTGCGTTACTCAGCCTCGGTTTCCCCGCGTTGCATGCCGATGACCGACGCCGTTGCCACGTGGAAGTAAAGATTGTTTTCGCTGCTGCCTGGCATATCCCTATCCGAGGGATGAGGTTTCGGTCTGTGTTAGCGCCGGTCGGATCTGACACATCTCTGTTGTTGTTGTTGTTGTTAAGGACGCGCCGCTGGTAACTCCTGCCACGTGTCGTCTGGACCGGGAAGAGAACTGAGCTAACTCCCGCGGTGTCAGATAGAATCCGCCCTTGGAGAACGTCTAGGAGGGTTGGGCTGTGACTCGAGGCCTTTGTGTTGGGCGAGTCCCTCCTTTGACAAGATGCCACAGCCCCTAGGTGACTTCTGGAAGTCCCTTGGAGCTTCACAGTTTGTGCGCTGTCACCTCGGTTGCTACCCACCACCCGCACGCCTCTCATAAATAATGAGCCATTTTCATACCCTGTCTTTGAGCCACTAAACCAAATGAGCAACCTTAAAACAAGTAACGAATTTAATAAGTTTAAGACTCATTTGTAAAAGGGCAAGGATATTGTAGAACTCCAAGTGTTTTGTGAGGAACAAAAGTAGTCTGCAGTCCATAAATCGCTTTACTACGTTATTATCGTGACTGCACATCTCAACGTAGGAAGAGCACATGGTTATGAACAGCGCTAGATTCTTCGGCTGTTTTTGCTCTTTAATACTTTGAAAGAATCCCATCATTCCAGGCTTCCCCCTCCCCCCCTTTTATTTTTTGAGACAGAGTCTCACTTTGTTGCCCAGGCTGGAGTGAGTACCGTGGCATCAGCTTTGCTCATAGCAACCTCAAACTCCTGGGCCCAAGCAATCCTCCTGAGTAGCTGGCACTACAGGCATGCGCCACCATGCCCGGCTAATTTTTTCTATATATATTTTTTAGTTGGCCAATTAATTTCTTTCTATTTTTAGTAGAGACAGGGTCTCTACAGCTCTTGCTCAGGCTGTTTTCAAACTCCTGATCTCAAGCAAGCAATCCTCTCGCCTTGGCCTCCCAGAGTGCTAGGATGACAGCCGTGAGCCACCACCAGCCAGCTTTACCCCCTTTGAGTTTGTAAAAGCCTTTGTTAAATGCCTGTTTGATGAAGTAATTGGATTAGGCTAATGTACTCTTCCTTATCAACTCGAAACATACAAAGCACACAAAGATACATTTCTCAAAGTGGTTTTATACAGTTGAGATTTCTTTCCTTATGGGGAAGCCAAATATTGTTTAGACCCTTGTATAATTAATTATTCATGGGGTGGGGGAATAAAAAAATTATTGAATGATGTTAGCTGTAGTTTTTTATTCTACAGTTTTGTGCCGTTTTCTTTCTGTCATAATTCTTTACCTCAAAAATCTCTCATAGTTATACAATTAATAAAGAATAGTACTTAAACATTCTATTTAGTTCCTGAATTTCCAAAGGGAGATTTTTTTTGAGCTCCAGGCATGCCATCACATGAGCTAGGACGGTGTTCTTTGGAAGACGTCTGTGCCTTAGTTCTCTTCTACTCTGTAAACATTGAAAAAGGACATCCAGTGAGTGAACATTATGTACCTACCTTCTGCCAAAAGCAAAATGATCAGTTTTGAAGTCTTAAAAGAGAGTGGACTATGTATTGCTTTCTTTTTGAATTTTTATGATATTAAGTATTGACTGGTGAGTGCTTTCTTGGCTTAATTTCTTTGTAAGGAATGAGCTTTTTCTTTCTCATTGGGACAGCTGTTCCAAATGCAAGAAGAGGGAAAAAATCGATATTTGGCATATGGAGATGAGGGGGAGGGGAAGTAGAGTCTCATATTTTTCTACCCTTAGGCATCCATAAAGCTTAGCCAAATTACCCCTGACCTTGGGTTCATTGCCAGAGGAAGTAGCCTCCAGGATTGTGGTAGTGATGGGCCAGGGTCACTCTGTGTTTTTGAAATATAGTACTGAAGTCCACATTTGCAAAGCTGTTATAGTTCTACCCCTAACTTCCAATTCCAGTTTGAATTTAAAACCACACATCCCTCTGTGTCTCTCAGGAAGTAATCCAAAGCAGTTGGAGGTGAAAATGTTGCATAAGCATCAATCCATGTAAGAACAGCACATTTAGACACATAATATATAAATTATACTTATTCATATACGAATAAATATAAATTTAGAAGCAACTTCATGTAACTTTTGAAAGCAGAAGTGTGCCTGAGTATATGTAAAACATTTCATGTGACCCAAAAGACAGCAGTTTAATAGGCCATTTAATGTAGTGTATAATATTCAGTGGTAAATATTACTCATGAATTATTTTGAGTTAGTGTGAGCATGGTATGATTTTTTTAAATGAATAATATTAACATAAACATTAATGTTCCCTGAAATAATCCATGTAAAGTAGAAGAGCAAGAATACATCTTTTAGTGTATTCAATGTTTCTCTAGGAATTTCATGGTGTTTTTTAAAATCAAATAACCATTCATTCTAGAAAGCTCAGCAGTGGCAGTTTTATTTTTATTCATTTATTTTTTCTTTCTTTTTTTAAGGCTAGTCAAATGAAGCCGTGGGAGTGGAGAAGCAACAAAGGAATCTGTAACTGGCTATGATCAATCAGTTGTACATACCACAGCTCTCAGACCAGCCTACAGTGGCAGTTTAAAATAACTCACCCTATTTCTTTTCTCATGCCATGAAATGACCATAACCGTGGGGGAAATGATGTAACCGCTAAAACTCAAATGTGATCTTCCAGCATTAATGATGTAAGTGGCAGGAAATCACGCTGTCTAGCGAGGTCTAAGAATCTGTTAAATGAAGCAGGAACAGGACCGGGCAACCCACAGCACATTAGGGTTACCCTCGCCACACTCAACATGGAGGGCAAGTCCTGCAGAGGATCTGCTCAGCGCCCCAGGCCTGCTGGGCCCGGCCCACCTCTCCTCCCTCTGGTTGGCCGCCATCCGTGCCATCCAGGCTGGCATTGGCCAGGTGTCAGATCAATCGTGGTGTCATCGCTCTGCTCTTTAGAACAAGTAAACAAACAAGTATTGCTCAAGAGCAGTGCCGGGAGCTATTCTCAGGAGGGACTTAAGTCAGGAGGATCTAGAAGTTGACACTCAGTAGGTTGCCGGCCTTGTTGTCAGCAGCCGGAGCAGGTGTTGTGCGCTGGTTTCCTCTCCCCAGGGAAGCTGGGCCTCTGTGTACAACTGAGACAGCGCAGATCAGTACTGGCAGTTCCATAAATCCTTCGCACAGCTTGGAGTTCTTTCCTGAGAGTGTGTAACAACTGGTGGGACTGACTGTCCCACCACTTTTCTGTTTGCTTGTTTAATTCTAAAGAAACTGTACAATTGCTGTGTTTACAGCTTTGGCTCCAGAGGGACTATGGAGCTATCTTATTTTCAACTGAGACCCTCTTGTTTATGTAGCCTTTTGAGTCTTTTCCCTTCTTTCTGGTTAGTATGACTATTTCTTCTGAGCGGTGCGGTAAGCTGCCATTTTTTTCACACCTGGATTCTGAGAACTCCTACAGGTAAAATTAACCTGGTGTTCTTAACTCCAAGAAACTTGACTTCCAGTGACCTCTGAGACAACCAACTGAAAAATACCCACAATCTACTTTATCTGCTTAGATGTTATCAGTTCTTCTGACAAAGAGCCCATTATTGTAAAGCTTCATCACGGTGTTAAAACAAATGATCTCTTCTATCTAGTGCTCCTGAGCATTTTAGAATGAATGCCCTCTCCTAGTGTTCTTTGTAAAGGATGGCAGTGCTACATAAGGGATTATAAAAGTGTTTCAAGGATGCATTACGCTTTCAGGATTCGATGTGTAATAGTTCTCCGCTGGCACTAACTCTTTCCTCTTCCCGCCAACACGGTCCGTGCAAGCTCTCACAGCCGTCCTTTCCTTTCTGCTCTGGTGGTCCGTGCCAATCCCCTCACCCGCAGCTGTGGACGGCGGAAGACGGGTCACTGTACACAGCTTCTGTTAATCCTGCTGTCAGTCTCTCTTATCCTCTCGTCCTGTGATTTTCAACTGTGCTTATCCATGTGTCACCTTCGTCTGTACTGCTATTACCATTTTCTTTAAAACAGCTTTTATTGAGACAGTCTCACTCCATCGCCCCAGCTTGAGTGCAGGGGTGTCATCATAGCTCATTGCAGCCTCAAACTGCTGGGCTAAAGCAATCCTCCTGCCTCAGCATCCTGAGTAGCTGGGACTACAGGCACGCGCCACCATGCCCGGCTAATTTTTCTATTTTTAGTAAAGACAGGGTCTTGTTCTTGCTTAGGCTGGTCTCGAACTTCTGGCCCCAAGTGATCCACTGGCTTTGGCCTCCCAAAGTGCTAGGATTACAGGCAGGACCCACCATGCCTGGCCACAACTCACTTTTTATTTAAAGTATTTAAAAGTAGCTTTGTCACCAGCAGTAATATCCTTGCAATCGTAACTTTAATATGCTAGTTACATTTTAACTTATGTATATTGAATACTAAACTAAGATAAAAATGCTTACGTACCATGTTAACTCATCGTGCATATGATTCGTAAGGGTACCATGCTGCACGCTGAAGCCTGGGTTGGCTTCCCAAAACACCAGTTTCATCACTATGTTGTCTGTCAATCCCAGATTCATAAGTGTGTAACCTGTGTTTCAGGAGTTCAAATTCTGGCCCCCATCTCATATTGATATGGTTATTTATATTTTCATGCATATGTATTTTCTCCCTTTAAAACATTTATTCTTAATTATACAAATAATATATGAATACTTCCTCATCATTAAGCTACTTAAAGACTAAAGAAAAAACAAAAGCTTGTGTTGATTGTCATCTAGTCCCTCACTCCCTCAGAGATAGCCACTGTGACCAGTTTGGAACATTTTCTTGCTGAAGAGAGGCATCCGTGTACACTTATCTACAGAAATAACATATAGTTGTATGTAATTTGTAAAAAATATTTTTAGAGACAGGGATCTCAGTCGTTTTCCCAGGCTGGCCTTGAACCTCCCGAGTAGCTGGGACATCAGGCCTGCACCACCACACCAGGCTGTTATCTGCATAGTTGCATAATCCAAATTATGAACATAGACTCATATAACCATTCTTCTAAAGATGGAAACTTAACCAAATTATGTTGTGTATTTAAATAAACTCAAAGCTCTTCTAGAGAAAAATGTGTTTTATTAATCTTTTTATACCTAGCTCCTAGTATAAGGCCTAGTAAGGGATAGATATTTTATCTTTTTTTTAATTTTAGTTATTCTTAATTTCTTTTTTTTAATATTTTTTATTTATGTCACCTTGATATCTAGTGATGTTCAAAGGGATAGATATTTTAAAAATAGATAAACTGAGGCCAGACACGGAGGCTCACACCTGTAATCCCAGTATTTTGGGAAGCCAAGGCAGGAGGATCACTTGAGCCCAGCAGTTCAAGATCAGCCTGAGCAACACTGAGACACCCCCAAGTCTACAAAAACATTTAAACATGAGCCAGATGTAGTCCCAGCTACTCCGGAGGTTGAGGAAGGAGGATTTCGTGAGCCTGGGAATTTGAGGTCGCTGTGAGCTAGGCTTACGCCCCTGCACTCTAGCTGGGGTGACAGAGTGACACCCTATCTCAAAAAATAAAATAAAATAAATAAACTGAAATACAACAGTGGCAAGGATTGTACTTTGGAATCTATGGCTATAGACAGGACATAGCACATAGGCTAGTCAGGCATTCTCTGAATGTTTATGAAATTTGTGTATGCATTGTTGCTTGCTGAGATACTTCCTGGCTTGAATCTCTGACTGATCCACCGGTCTTCTCTGTTTGGTCCTTCCCTCGTTTTTCAGACTTTTTGCCAGTTTGTGTGTTTGTTCTTTTTTTCCCCCATTTAACATTTAGTTAGCAAACATTCACCGATCATATGATGTTTGATGCCACAACATGTGACGGGATATGTCCAGAGGAACGGGTCAAAAGGAAACATATTTGTAATAAAACGATAGGATATGCTACAATAAAGCTCTCCTCTGGGAAAAGTGGCAGGGTGTAGCCGTTCAGTGGTACAGGGCACAGCTTGCCTGTTGCAGAGCGAGTGAGCCACAGGCTGGTTTTGGTGGAGGCCGGGTGGGCAGGTGCATGTGGACCAAGCCAGGCTGGGAGGGGCACTGCGTAATCACTGAATACTTGTAAATGAGCGAGTCACACGATGACTTGGCTTTTTTTTTTTTTAATTTATTATTGTTATTGAAGGAAGGGCGTTCTCACAACACTGGAGGAAGGAATGGAAAACAGGGCTCTAGGCGCAGGGAGCTCACTTCTTACAGCTACTGATTTCCAAGTGGGTGGACCCGAGATGCCCCAGGTTTGGGCTTGGGTGCATCTGCCTGGCTGTTTTCATCTAAAGATGCACTTCGCGGTTTACTGGACTCTGCGGACCAAGACGACAGCCCCCTTGTCATAGCAAAGCGCACGTGGTGGCAGTCCAAGCAACACTCCAGCACGTGAGGGCGGGAGCCGGTCCCTCCACCTGCGCTCCCCCGAACAGAGCAGCGTCTCAGGCTGCGCCTTTTAAACTTCCTTAACGTTTAAGTATTTCACGTACTCACGTGGAACGAAAGGTCACAGGGATGTGCAGCGAGCATCCTGTTGGCCACACACCGGAGTAGCTATGCGTCTGCCTGTCCTGCCAGGTGAACCCCACCTGCCGGGGAAGCAGGGGGGGTGGGGTCGTGTGGGACACAAGTGGACGGGATGCAGGTGGGCGAGATGCAGGTGGGCGCGTGGGGCGGGATGCAGGTGGGCGGGATGCAGGTGGCGCGTGGGGCGGGATGCAGGTGGGCGCGGCGCAGGTGGCGCGGGCCTCAGGGGGCCCTGCAGAGTCCGGGGGCGCAGCGCAGCGGGCTTACCAATGCC